CACACTCACCACTGGTGAGTGGGGGTGGTGAGGGTGGTGAGGGTGGTGAGGGTGGCCTACACACTGAGCGTGGTGGGGCGAGACTCTGTGTATGGTGTGGTGAGCAGCTGTCCACACTCACCACTGGTGAGTGGGGGTGGTGAGGGTGGTGAGGGTGGCCTACACACTGAGCGTGGTGGGGCGAGACTCGGTGTATGGTGTGGTGAGCAGCTGTCCACACTCACCACTGGTGAGTGGGGGTGGTGGTGAGGGTGGCCTACACACTGAGTGTGGTGGGGCGAGACTCGGTGTATGGTGTGGTGAGCAGCTGTCCACACTCACCACTGGTGAGTGGGGGTGGTGGTGAGGGTGGCCTACACACTGAGCGTGGTGGGGCGAGACTCGGTGTATGGTGTGGTGAGCAGCTGTCCACACTCACCACTGGTGAGTGGGGGTGGTGAGGGTGGTGAGGGTGGTGAGGGTGGCCTACACACTGAGCGTGGTGGGGCGAGACTCGGTGTATGGTGTGGTGAGCAGCTGTCCACACTCACCACTGGTGAGTGGGGGTGGTGGTGAGGGTGGCCTACACACTGAGCGTGGTGGGGCGAGACTCGGTGTACGGTGTGGTGAGCAGCTGTCCACACTCACCACTGGTGAGTGGGGGTGGTGAGGGTGGTGAGGGTGGTGAGGGTGGCCTACACACTGAGCGTGGTGGGGCGAGACTCGGTGTATGGTGTGGTGAGCAGCTGTCCACACTCACCACTGGTGAGTGGGGGTGGTGGTGAGGGTGGTGAGGGTGGTGAGTGGAGCCTACACACTGAGCGTGGTGGGGCGAGACTCGGTGTACGGTGTGGTGAGCAGCTGTCCACACTCACCACTGGTGAGTGGGGGTGGTGAGGGTGGCCTACACACTGAGCGTGGTGGGGCGAGACTCTGTGTATGGTGTGGTGAGCAGCTGTCCACACTCACCACTGGTGAGTGTGGGTGGTGAGGGTGGCCTACACACTGAGTGTGGTGGGGCGAGACTCTGTGTACGGTGTGGTGAGCAGTTGTCCACACTCACCACTGGTGAGTGGGGGTGGTGAGGGTGGCCTACACACTGAGCGTGGTGGGGCGAGACTCTGTGTATGGTGTGGTGAGCAGCTGTCCACACTCACCACTGGTGAGTGGGGGTGGTGAGGGTGGTGAGGGTGGTGAGGGGGGTGAGCAGTTGTCCACACTCACCACTGGTGAGTGAGGGTGGTGAGGGTGGCCTACACACTGAGTGTGGTGGGGCGAGACTCTGTGTACGGTGTGGTGAGCAGCTGTCCACACTCACCACTGGTCCTATGGGTGAGACTTTAACATTGGGCCCTGTGGGGGAGACTTTAACATTGGACCCTATGGGTGAGACTTTAACATTGGACCCTATGGGTGAGACTTTAACATTGGGCCCTATGGGGGAGACTTTAACATTGGACCCTATGGGTGAGACTTTAACATTGGACCCTATGGGTGAGACTTTAACATTGGACCCTATGGGTGAGACTTTAACATTGGGCCCTATGGGGGAGACTTTAACATTGGGCCCTATGGGTGAGACTTTAACATTGGACCCTATGGGTGAGACTTTAACATTGGGCCCTATGGGGGAGACTTTAACATTGGCCCCTATGGGGGAGACTTTAACATTGGGCCCTATGGGTGAGACTTTAACATTGGGCCCTATGGGTGAGACTTTAACATTGGGCCCTGTGGGGGAGCCTTTAACATTGGACCCTATGGGTGAGACTTTAACATTGGACCCTATGGGTGAGACTTTAACATTGGGCCCTATGGGTGAGACTCTCACATTGGGCCCTATGGGTGAGACTTTAACATTGGGTCCTATGGGTGAGACTCTAACATTGGGCCCTATGGGAGATAAATTAACATTGGGCCCTATGGGTGAGACTTTGACATTGGGCCCTATGGGTGAGACTTTGACATTGGGCCCTATGGGTGAGACTTTAACATTGGGCCCTATGGGTGAGACTTTGACATTGGGTCCTATGGGTGAGACTTTAACATTGGGCCCTATGGGTGAGACTTTAACATTGGGCCCTATGGGTGAGACTTTAACATTGGGCCCTATGGGTGAGACTTTAACATTGGACCCTATGGGGGATAAATTAACATTGGGCCCTATGGGGGAGACTTTAACATTGGGCCCTATGGGTGAGACTCTCACATTGGGCCCTATGGGTGAGACTTTAACATTCGGCCCTATGGGTGAGACTTTAACATTGGGTCCTATGGGTGAGACTCTAACATTGGGCCCTATGGGGGAGACTTTAACATTGGGCCCTATGGGTGAGACTTTAACATTGGACCCTATGGGTGAGACTTTAACATTGGGCCCTGTGGGTGAGACTTTAACATTGGGCCCTATGGGGTAGACTTTAACATTGGGCCCTGTGTTGCAGGCTCTGTCCAGGCCGGCCAGCCTGTGCCTGGTGAGCGTGAACGTGACGTCTGGTCAACAACACCTCTTCATAGACCACGTGAACCGCAGGGTGAGTGGGTGGGTGGGTGTGTGAGTGGGTGAGTGGGTGGGTGGGTGAGTCAGTGGGTGGGTGGGTGAGTGTGTGGGTGGGTGAGTGGGTGGGTGGGTTAGTGAGTGGGTGAGTGGGTGGGTGGGTGAGTGGGTGAGTGGGTGGGTGAGTGAGTGAGTGGGTGGGTGGGTGAGTGAGTGGGTCGGTGAGTGGGTGGGTGAGTGGGTGAGTGGGTGGGTGGGTTAGTGAGTGGGTGAGTGAGTGAGTGAGAGAGTGAGTGAGTGAGAGAGTGAGAAGTGAGTGGGTGAGTGAGAGAGTGAGTGGGTGGGTGAGTGAGTGAGTGGGTGGGCGATTGGGTGAGTGGGTGAGTGGGTGAGTGAGTGAGTGGGTGGGTGAGTGAGTGAGTGGGTGAGTGGGTGGGTGGGTTAGTGAGTGGGTGAGTGAGTGGGTGGGTGGGCGAGTGGGTGAGTGGATGAGTGGGTGAGTGGGTGAGTGAGTGAGTGAGTGGGTGAGTGGATGAGTGAGTGGGTGGGTGAGTGGGTGAGTGAGTGAGTGAGTGGGTGAGTGGATGAGTGAGTGGGTGGGTGGGTGGGTGAGTGGATGAGTGAGTGGGTGGGTGAATGGGTGCGTGAGTGTGTGGGTGGGTGAGTGTGTGGGTGGGTGAGTGGGTGGGTGGTTGTGTGGGTGGGTGAGTGGGTGAGTGGGTGGGTGTGACTGAGTATGGGTGTGCATTTGCTCTTGAGGCTATACAGGGAACTTTCTTTGTAGTATGCACGTGTGCATGCTTGTCCATCTCTCTGTCTCTCTCTGTCTCTCTCTGTGTGTCTCTGTCTCTCTCTCTGTCTCTTTCTGTGTCTCTCTGTCTCTCTCTGTCTCTCTCTGTGTGTGTCTCTCTGTCTCTCTCTGTGTGTCTCTCTGTCTCTCTCTGACTCTCTGTCTCTGTGTGTCTCTGTCTCTCTGTCTCTCTCTCTCTCTGTGTCTCTCTGTCTCTCTCTGTCTGTGTGTGTCTCTCTCTGTGTGTCTCTCTGTCTCTGTCTCTCCCACCACCACCACCACCACCACCCCAGGTAGAGATGTCACATCTCACCGTGCATGGGGCCTGGACGAGGAGTGAAGGCATCACGTTGGTGGACACGGGCCACATGTACCACGTGGTGACAACTCTCTCTCTCTCTCTGTGTGTCTCTGTCTCTCTCTGTCTCTCTCTGTCTCTCTGTGTGTCTCTCTGTCTCTCCCACCACCACCACCACCACCACCCCAGGTAGAGATGTCACACCTCGCCGTGGATGGGGCCTGGACGAGGACTGGAGGCATCACGTTGGTGGACACGGGCCACATGTACCACGTGGTGACAACTCTCTCTCTGTGTGTCTCTCTGTGTCTCTCTGTGTCTCTCTGTGTGTGTCTCTCTCTGTGTGTCTCTCTGTGTGTCTCTCTCTGTGTGTCTCTCTCTGTGTGTCTCTCTCTCTGTCTCTCTCTCTGTCTCTGTCTCTCCCACCACCACCACGACCACCACCACCACCCCAGGTAGAGATGTCACATCTCACCGTGGATGGGGCTTGGACGAGGAGTGAAGGCATCACGTTGGTGGACACGGGCCACATGTACCACGTGGTGACAACTCTCTCTCTCTGTGTGTCTCTCTCTGTCTCTCTGTGTCTCTCTGTGTGTCTATCTGTCTCTCTCTGTGTGTCTCTGTCTCTCTGTGTGTCTCTGTGTGTCTCTGTCTCTCTGTGTGTCTCTGTGTGTGTCTCTGTCTCTCCCACCACCACCACCACCACCCCAGGTAGAGATGTCACACCTCACCGTGGATGGGGCTTGGACGAGGACTGGAGGCATCACGTTGGTGGACACGGGCCACATGTACCACGTGGTGACAACTCTCTCTCTCTGTGTGTCTCTGTCTCTCTCTGTGTCTCTCTGTCTCTCTGTGTGTCTCTCTCTGTCTCTGTGTGTCTCTCTCTGTGTGTCTCTCTCTCTGTGTCTCTCTCTGTCTCTGTCTCTCCCACCACCACCACCACCACCACCCCAGGTAGAGATGTCACACCTCACCGTGGATGGGGCTTGGACGAGGAGTGAAGGCATCACGTTGGTGGACACGGGCCACATGTACCACGTGGTGACAACTCTCTCTCTGTGTGTCTCTCTCTGTCTCTCTGTGTCTCTCTGTGTGTCTCTCTGTCTCTCTCTGTGTGTCTCTGTCTCTCTGTGTGTCTCTGTGTGTCTCTGTCTCTCTGTGTGTCTCTGTGTGTGTCTCTGTCTCTCCCACCACCACCACCACCACCCCAGGTAGAGATGTCACATCTCACCGTGGATGGGGCTTGGACGAGGAGTGGAGGCATCACGTTGGTGGATACGGGCCACATGTACCACGTGGTGACGACTCTCTCTCTCTGTGTGTCTCTGTCTCTCTCTGTGTCTCTCTGTCTCTCTGTGTGTCTCTGTGTGTCTCTCTCTGTGTGTCTCTCTGTGTGTCTCTCTCTGTGTGTCTCTCTGTCTCTCCCACCACCACCACCCCAGGTAGAGATGTCACACCTCACCGTGGATGGGGCTTGGACGAGGAGTGAAGGCATCACGTTGGTGGACACGGGCCACATGTACCACGTGGTGACGCCTGGTGGCCTCCTGCTCCAGTGGGCCCATAGCAGTGGAGTGGCTACGCTCCAGTTCACAGAGCCCAGTGCAAGGCATCAGAGCGTGGGGGTGTGTGGTGAGTGGGGGGGGGGGGGGGGGGGTGGGTGGGGGGGGTGGGTGGGGGGTGGGTGGGTGGGTGGGTGAGTGAGTGGGTGTGTGAGTCAGTGGGTGGGTGAGTCAGTGGGTAGGTGAGTGGGTGGGTGGGTGAGTGGGTGAGTGAGTGAGTGGGTGAGTGGGTGAGTGAGTGAGTGGGTGAGTGAGTGGGTGAGTGAGCGAGTGAGTGAGTGAGTGGGTGGGTGAGTGAGTGAGTGGGTGAGTGAGTGAGTGGGTGGGTGAGTGAGTGGGTGAGTGAGTGGGTGAGTGAGCGAGTGAGTGAGTGAGTGGGTGGGTGAGTGAGTGAGTGGGTGAGTGGGTGAGTGGGTGAGTGGGTGAGTGAGTCAGTGGGTGAGTCAGTGGTCCTTCTCAACAATCCCGTTCAAGGCCTCCTCCTAACCTCCCTGCGTGGCGCGTGACACAAACCCCGTGACTGACTGCCGGTGTCGGGTGGTGGCAGGTTTGACGACACAACGCGTCTCTGCATACTCGTTCCGAAGGCGTTTTGGGTCACGTGCATTAGCGCGTTCAGGGTCACGATTTCTCGTGGCCCCTCCCCCCGTGCCCCCCCCGTGCCCCCCCTCCCGTGCCCCCCCCGGTGCCCCCCACCCCCGTGCCCCCCCACACGCCAGGATGCTGCAACGGGGACCCCAGCGATGATTTCACGTTGCCCGATGGCTCGGTGTTGGGTGTCGGCGAGGACCCCCAGCGCTTCCTGCAGAGCTGGGGGCTGCGAGCCGGCGAGGAGGAGGTGGGCGAGGAGGAGGTGGACGTGGAGGAGGTGGACGAGGTGGACGACGAGGAGGTGGACGAGGAGTTGCTGGTGGAGCGGCGTCGGAACGAGAGCTGTGCAGGAGGAGGCTGTGCTCCATGCTACGTGCTGCTGAACGGCGCTCCGTGGACAGAGTGTCACCAGAAGGTGGTGCTGGTGGTGGTGGTGATGGTGGTGATGGTGGTGATGGTGGTGGTGATGGTGGTGGTGGTGATGGTGGTGGTGGTGATGGTGGTGGTGATGGTGGTGATGGTGGTGGTGGTGGTGCTGGTGGTGGTGGTGGTGATGGTGGTGATGGTGGTGGTGGTGATGGTGGTGGTGATGGTGGTGGTGGTGGTGGTGATGGTGGTGGTGGTGGTGATGGTGGTGGTGGTGGTGGTGATGGTGGTGGTGGTGATGGTGGTGGTGGTGGTGATGGTGGTGGTGGTGGTGGTGATGGTGGTGGTGGTGGTGATGGTGGTGGTGGTGGTGATGGTGGTGGTGGTGGTGGTGGTGGTGATGGTGGTGGTGGTGATGGTGGTGATGGTGGTGGTGATGGTGATGGTGGTGATGGTGGTGGTGGTGATGGTGGTGGTGGTGCTGGTGGTGGTGGTGCTGGTGGTGGTGATTGGCGTGGTGGTGATGGTGGTGGTGATGGTGGTGGTGGTGGTTGTGATGGTGGTGATGCTGGTGGTGGTGATGGTGGTGATGGTGGTGAGTGTGGTGGTGGTGGTGGTGGTGATGTGGTGGTGGTGATGGTGGAGGTTATGGTGGAGGTGGTGGTGGTGGTGGAGGTGATGGTGCTGGTGGAGGAAATGGCGGTGGTTGTGGAGGTGGTGGTGGTACAGGTGATGGAGGTGATGATGGTGGTGATGGAGGGAATGATGATGTTATGGCTGCTGTTACTACCACTCATACTACTGCTGCTACTACTACTCATACTACTGCTGCTGCTACTACTCATACTACTGCTGTTACTACCACTCATACTACTGCTGCTACTACTACTACCACTCATACTACTGCTGCTACTACTACTCATACTACTGTTGCTGCTACTACTACTACCACTCGTACTACTGCTGCTACTACTACTACCACTCATACTACTACTACCACTCATACTACTGCTACTACTACCACTCATACTACTGCTGCTACTACTACCACCCGTACTACTGCTGCTACTACTAGTACTACTCATACTATTACTACTACCACTCGTACTACTGCTGCTACTAGTACTACTAGTACTACTCATACTACTACTACTACTACCACTCATACTACTGCTGCTACTACTACTACCACTCTAACTACTGCTACTACTGCGGCTACTACCACTACCACTCATTCTACTGCTGCTACTACTACTACTACCACTCATACTATTGCTGCTACTACTACTACTACCACTCATACTACTGCTGCTACTACCACTCTTACTACTACTACTACCACTCGTCCTACTGCTGCTACTACGACTACTAACACTCATACTACTGCTGCTACTACTACTACCACTCATACTACTGCTGCTACTAGTACTACTACTACTCATACTACTACTGCTACTACTACTACCACTCATACTACTACTGCTACTACTACTACTACTCATACTACTACTGCTACTACTACTACCACTCATACTACTACTGCTACTACTACTACCACTCTTACTACTGCTGCTACTACTGCTGCTGCTACTACTGCTGCTGACGATACTACTACTACCACTCGTACTACTGCTGCTACTAGTACTACTACTATTCATACTACTACTGCTACTACTACTACCACTCTTACTACAGCTGCTTCTACTAGTACTACTACCACTCATACTACTACTACTACCACTCGTACTACTGCTACTACTACTACTACCACTCTTACTACTACTGCTACTACTACTGCTACTACTACTGCTACTACTACTGCTGCTACTACTGCTGCTACTACTACTACTGCTACTACTACTGCTACTACTACTACTACTGCTGCTACTACTACTACTGCTGCTACTACTACTACTGCTGCTACTACTGCTACTCCTACTACTACTGCTGCTACTACTACTGCTACTACTATTACTGCTGTTGCTGCTGCTACTACCACTACTACTGCTGCTACTACTACTGCTACTACTACTGCTGCTACTACCACTACTACTACTGCTACTACTACTGCTACTACTGCTGCTACTACCACTACTGCTACTACTACTGCTGCTACTGCTATTACTGCTACTACTACTACTGCTGCTACTGCTACTACTACCACTACCACTCATACTACTGCTGCTCCTGCTGCAGGTCCCTCCGGCGTTGTTTTGCGAGCTGTGGGCCCGCGACTGGCGCTACCGTGAGCGGCCGTGCCAGGCGCTGTCCACCTACGCCGCGGCATGCACAGCCCAGGGGCTGTGCCTGGACTGGAGGAGCAATCACTCATGTCGTGAGTAGCCGCAGACTGCAGTGGTGGCGGTGGTAGTGGTGGCGGTGGTAGTAGTGGTAGTGGTAGTGGTACTAGTACTAGTGGTAGTAGTGGTAGTGGTGGTAGCAGTGGTGGCAGTGGTGGTGGTGGTAGTGGTGGTAGTAGTACTAGTAGTGGTAGTGGTGGTGGTAGTAGTACTAGTAGTGGTAGTGGTGGTGGTAGTAGTGGTAGTTGTGGTGGTGGTAGTGGTGGTGGTAGTAGTAGTGGTGGTAGTAGTAGTGGTGGTAGTAGTGGTAGTAGTGGTGGTGGTAGTAGTAGTGGTAGTAGTGGTAGTGCAGTAGTAGTGGTAGTAGTAGTTGTACTAGTAGTAGTGGTAGTAGTGGTGGTGGTAGTAGTGGTGGTGGCAGTGGTAGTGTAGTAGTAGTGGTAGTAGTAGTAGTGGTAGTAGTACTAGTAGTAGTGGTAGTAGTGGTAGTGGTGGTAGTAGTAGTAGTGGTAGTGTAGTAGTGGTGGTAGTAGTGTAGTAGTAGTGGTAGTAGTAGTGTAGTAGTGGTGGTAGTGTAGTAGTAGTAGTGGTAGTAGTAGTAGTGTAGTAGTAGTAGTGGTAGTAGTAGTGGTAGTAGTGGTGGTAGTGGTGGTAGTGGTAGTAGTGGTAGTGTAGTAGTGGTGGTAGTAGTGTAGTAGTAGTACTAGTACTAGTAGTGGTAGTAGTGGTAGTAGTGGTGGTAGTAGTGGTAGTGGTGGTAGTGGTAGTAGTGGTAGTAGTAGTAGTGGTGGTAGTGGTGGTGGTAGTAGTGGTGGTGGTAGTGGTGGTGGTAGTGGTGGTGGTAGAAGTGGTGGTGGTAGTGGTGGTAGTAGTGGTGGTGGTGGTAGTGGTGGTGGTAGTAGTGGTGGTAGTAGTGGTGGTGGTAGTGGTGGTGGTAGAAGTGGTGGTGGTAGTGGTGGTAGTAGTGGTGGTGGTAGTGGTGGTAGTAGTAGTAGTGGTGGTAGTAGTGGTAGTAGTAGTGGTAGTAGTGGTAGTAGTAGTGGTACTAGTAGTGTAGTAGTAGTGGTAGTAGTGGTACTAGTAGTGTAGTAGTGGTAGTAGTTGTGGTACTGGTAGTAGTGGTAGTAGTGGTGGTGGTAGTAGTGGTAGTAGTGGTGGTGGTAGTGGTGGTAGTGGTAGTGTAGTAGTTGTGGTAGTGGTAGTAGTGGTAGTAGTAGTGGTACTAGTAGTAGTGGTAGTAGTGGTGGTAGTAGTAGTAGTGGCAGTGGTGGTAGTGGTAGTGTAGTAGTAGTAGTGGTAGTTGTGGTAGTAGTGGTAGTAGTGGTGGTAGTAGTGGTAGTGAAGTAGTGTAGTAGTAGTAGTGGTGGTAGTAGTAGTGTAGTAGTAGTGGTAGTGGTAGTAGTGGCAGTGGTAGTAGTAGCAGTGGTAGTAGTTGTGGTAGTGGTGGCAGTGGTAGTAGTAGCAGTGGTAGTAGTTGTGGTAGTAGTTGTGGTAGTAGTGTAGTAGTGGTGGTAGTGTAGTAGTGGTAGTAGTAGTAGTGGTAGTAGTGGTAGTGGTGGTGGTAGTAGTGGTAGTAGTAGTGGTAGTAGTGGTAGTGATAGTAGTAGTAGTGGTAGTAGTAGTGGTAGTAGTAGTGGTAGTAGTAGTGGTAGTAGTAGTGGTAGTAGTGGTAGTGGTGGTAGTAGTGTAGTAGTGGTAGTAGTATTGGTAGTAGTGGTAGTGGTGGTAGTAGTGGTAGTAGTGTTGTAGTGGTGGTAGTAGTAGTAGTGGTAGTGTAGTAGTGGTGGTAGTAGTGTAGTAGTAGTGGTAGTAGTAGTGTAGTAGTGGTGGTAGTGTAGTAGTAGTAGTGGTAGTAGTAGTAGTGTAGTAGTAGTAGTGGTAGTAGTAGTGGTAGTAGTGGTGGTAGTGGTGGTAGTGGTAGTAGTGGTAGTGTAGTAGTGGTGGTAGTAGTGTAGTAGTAGTACTAGTACTAGTAGTGGTAGTAGTGGTAGTAGTGGTGGTAGTAGTGGTAGTGGTGGTAGTGGTAGTAGTGGTAGTAGTAGTAGTGGTGGTAGTGGTGGTGGTAGTAGTGGTGGTAGTAGTGGTGGTGGTAGTGGTGGTGGTAGAAGTGGTGGTGGTAGTGGTGGTAGTAGTGGTGGTGGTAGTGGTGGTAGTAGTAGTAGTGGTGGTAGTAGTGGTAGTAGTAGTGGTAGTAGTGGTAGTAGTAGTGGTACTAGTAGTGTAGTAGTAGTGGTAGTAGTGGTACTAGTAGTGTAGTAGTGGTAGTAGTTGTGGTACTGGTAGTAGTGGTAGTAGTGGTGGTGGTAGTAGTGGTAGTAGTGGTGGTGGTAGTGGTGGTAGTGGTAGTGTAGTAGTTGTGGTAGTGGTAGTAGTGGTAGTAGTAGTGGTACTAGTAGTAGTGGTAGTAGTGGTGGTAGTAGTAGTAGTGGCAGTGGTGGTAGTGGTAGTGTAGTAGTAGTAGTGGTAGTTGTGGTAGTAGTGGTAGTAGTGGTGGTAGTAGTGGTAGTGAAGTAGTGTAGTAGTAGTAGTGGTGGTAGTAGTAGTGTAGTAGTAGTGGTAGTGGTAGTAGTGGCAGTGGTAGTAGTAGCAGTGGTAGTAGTTGTGGTAGTGGTGGCAGTGGTAGTAGTAGCAGTGGTAGTAGTTGTGGTAGTAGTTGTGGTAGTAGTGTAGTAGTGGTGGTAGTGTAGTAGTGGTAGTAGTAGTAGTGGTAGTAGTGGTAGTGGTGGTGGTAGTAGTGGTAGTAGTAGTGGTAGTAGTGGTAGTGATAGTAGTAGTAGTGGTAGTAGTAGTGGTAGTAGTAGTGGTAGTAGTAGTGGTAGTAGTAGTGGTAGTAGTGGTAGTGGTGGTAGTAGTGTAGTAGTGGTAGTAGTATTGGTAGTAGTGGTAGTGGTGGTAGTAGTGGTAGTAGTGTTGTAGTGGTAGTAGTATTGGTAATAGTGGTAGTAGTGGTAGTAGTAGTGGTAGTAGTAGTGGTAGTAGTAGTGGTAGTAGTGGTAGTGGTAGTTGTGGTAGTAGCAGTGGTAGTAGGAGTGGTAGTAGTAGTGGTAGTAGTGGTAGTTGTGGTAGTAGTGGTAGTGGTAGTTGTGGTAGTAGCAGTGGTAGTAGTAGTGGTAGTAGTAGTAGTGGTAGTTTTGGTAGTAGCAGTGGTAGTAGGAGTGGTAGTAGTAGTGGTAGTAGTGGTAGTGGTAGTAGTGGTAGTAGTAGTGGTAGTAGTAGTGGTAGTAGTTGTGGTAGTAGTAGTGGTAGTTGTGGTAGTGGTAGTAGTAGTGTAGTAGTGTAGTGGTAGTGGTGGTGGTAGTAGTGGTAGTAGTAGTGGTAGTAGTTGTGGTAGTAGTAGTGGTAGTTGTGGTAGTGGTAGTAGTAGTATAGTAGTGGTAGTGTAGTAGTGGTAGTAGTTGTGGTAGTAGTAGTGGTGGTAGTAGTTGTAGTAGTGTAGTGGTAGTAGTAGTGGTAGTAGTAGTAGTGGTAGTTGTATTAGTGTAGTGGTAGTTGTAGTAGTGTAGTGGTAGTAGTAGTGGTAGTAGTAGTAGTGGTAGTTGTAGTAGTGGTAGTAGTAGTGGTAGTAGTGGTAGTGTAGTAGTAGTGGTAGTAGTTGTGGTAGTAGTAGTGGTAGTAGTTGTAGTAGTTGTGGTAGTAGTAGTGGTAGTAGTTGTGGTAGTAGTAGTAGTAGTGGTAGTGTAGTAGTAGTGTAGTAGTGTAGTGGTAGTGGTAGTAGTGGTACTAGTAGTGGTAGTAGCAGTGGTAGTAGGAGTGGTAGTTGGAGTGGTAGTAGTTGTGGTAGTGGTAGTAGTGTAGTAGTAGTTGTAGTAGCAGTGGTAGTAGTAGTAGTGGTAGTAGTAGTGGTAGTAGTAGTGGTAGTAGTTGTGGTAGTAGTAGTTGTAGTAGTTGTGGTAGTAGTAGTTGTAGTAGTGTAGTAGTGTAGTGGTAGTAGTGGTAGTAGTAGTGGTAGTAGTAGTTGTAGTAGTTGTGGTAGTAGTAGTAGTTGTAGTGGTAGTAGTAGTGGTAGTAGTAGTAGTGGTGGTAGTAGTAGCAGTGGTAGTAGTAGTAGCAGTGGTAGTAGTAGTAGTGGTAGTAGTAGTAGTGGTAGTAGTAGTGGTAGTAGTAGTAGTGGTAGTAGTAGTAGTAGTGGTGGTAGTAGTGGTAGTAGTAGTTGTAGTAGTAGTTGTAGTAGTGTAGTAGTGTAGTGGTAGTAGTGGTAGTAGTAGTAGTGGTAGTAGTAGTAGCAGTGGTAGTAGTAGTGGTAGTAGTAGTAGTGGTAGTAGTAGTAGTGGTAGTAGTAGTGGAAGTAGTGGTGGTAGTAGTAGTAGTGGTAGTAGTTGTGGTAGTAGTGGTAGTAGCAGTGGTAGTAGTGGTGGTAGTAGTAGTGGTAGTAGTAGTTGTAGTAGTTGTGATAGTAGTAGTAGTTGTAATGGTAGTAGTAGTGGTAGTAGTAGTAGTGGTAGTAGTAGTGGTAGTAGTTGTGGTAGAAGCGGTAGTAGTAGTAGCAGTGGTAGTAGTAGTGGTAGTAGTAGTGGTAGTAGTAGCAGTGGTAGTAGTAGTGGTAGTAGTGGTAGTAGTGGTAGTAGTAGTGGTGGTAGTAGTGGTAGTAGTAGTAGTGGTAGTAGTAGTGGTAGTAGTGGTGGTAGTAGTAGTGGTAGTAGTAGCAGTGGTAGTAGTAGTAGTAGTGGTGGTAGTAGTGGTGGTAGTAGTAGTGGTAGTAGTAGTGGTGGTAGTAGTGGTAGTAGTAGCAGTGGTAGTAGTAGTAGTGGTGGTAGTAGTAGTGGTAGTAGTAGCAGTGGTAGTAGTAGTGGTAGTAGTAGTGGTAGTAGTAGTGGTAGTAGTAGTGGTGGTAGTGGTAGTGGTAGTAGTAGTAGCAGTGGTAGTAGTAGTGGTAGTAGTAGTGGTAGTAGTGGTGGTAGTAGTGGTGGTAGTAGTCGTAGCAGTAGTAGTGGTAGTAGCGGTAGTAGCAGTGGGAGTAGTAGTGGTAGTAGTAGTAGTGGTAGTAGTGGTGGTAGTAGTCGTAGCAGTAGTAGTGGTAGTAGTAGTGGTAGTAGTA